GTTTTCAGATTTTTTTGCTACAAGTTTTTCAGAGCTGAGAAAAAATTGCATTGTTAACAGCTAATATATAGAAGAACATTCGGTGAAAGTTTCATCAAAATTGGAGCTTGGATGTGACTGGGGCACGCATTTTACTGAACTCCCCTCTTGGGATAACGCGCTAGAAAAATGTTATATGCTTTTTTTTCAGCTTAGAAAGTGTAAAATTAGGAAGGTTTTTTAGCAATCGATAGAGAGTTTGCCACTGATTCAGAATATGCGGTTATTTTTCTACAACCTTACTTTGGTTTTGCACATGATCCTGTTGTCTAAAAGCACCATTGTTTTCGATCCAGTCTTTCTTAGGGATTTTCCTACTAACGAGGGAACCTCTCGAGGTGATAAAACGCTTTTTGATCGAAATCTAGTGGGTTATAGGTTATCGACCATGCTGATTCTGAATATGATTATGGGAGCTAGCCTTAACCGTACTTAGATCCAGTTTTCTGGAAAACCAGGTTTTCAGAAACTCTAAAAGATAACCAATACCTTTTTAATGAAGCATGATTGTAGATCACAAATTTTTGATTACTATGAGATATCTCCCAGCTCTACACGATCTTTCTTTGCAAAGTTACAGACTTTACACGAAAAGCCCTAAATTATAGCCTTGAGCTGACAATGAACATTTAGGGAATTTTCTCTATGGAAATTGTTAAACAAAATCGCAACCCAGACAGACCGTATTCTAGTTGATTGAGTCTAATGTTACTCGGTAGTCGGGTTAGCACTGGATCCGACGATCGGAATGTGGTAGAAATAATTGAACTCCATTCAGAACTGAATGGAGTCCGACTGAAACCAATCAGGTAGATGTGATTTGAGCTATTCCTTATTAAAGGGGGAAGTGAGTTATGAAGAGACTTAAATTTAAAAAATTCGTAAAGCTGTTCATAACTTACCGCTACTAGTATCCACACATGAAACCACCGCAATCACTGATAAAGTAGCTAAATAGATTGTATTCATTATGTCAAGTGAAAGATACAATGTGCGTTATCTCACATTTATATAGAAGCTAAATCTGCGTATAGAAGAATAGACAATCAATACAGAGGTGATTTCCGATAATTAAAAACACATGGTGCCCATAAACATAAGAATGCAATAACAGTAATTTTCGTTCTATAACTACTGTTACATTCTGATGTTTATTAATTATGTATTTTTCATTTTATAACTTCTGTTACATTCTTATTTTTACTAAAAAGGTCTTGTCTTATCTTTTTCTTAAGTTTTGCCTATTCGAAAATATAATGTTTACATAATGTCCAGTTGTGCAAATAAATTAAATTTAAAATTAAATGCACCTTTAGTTGAGGGCTGTCCATCGTAAAGCAAAGTTCTAAATTTGAGATTTCCATTCTCCTTTTAGAATTTATGAATTTTTAGCATTTGTGAACTTTGAACTTTGAACTTATGGACATAAATCCAGAAGTTCAGAGGTTATAAAATTCATAAATTCGAAAAGTTCTAAAAGGTTCATAACTTCTAAAAGGTTTTAAACTTCAAAAGTTCATTTCTATCTTCATCGCACAACATCGCTTATTTTCAAATTTAGAACTTTTACGTATATCGGACATCTCTGAAGTAATAGGTATTATGCATGGATCAACAGATATATTGATAACCTATATTCAATGATGCTACTCCCAAACCCACGTCGATTTTTCGTTGAAAATGCCAAAAGTAAAGACTTTTAGCTGAAGGGTGACTTTTGAAAGTCGTTACTGGTTATTGCTGAACTAATAGTTTGGAGCTTCATGGTTGAATAAAGCACATTCAGCCGAATTTCAAGGTGTGTCACAAGTTGAATTTTGGTTTTATTCTCATTGAAAATAAGCAAGTGGAAGTCTCACAGGACATTTTTCTTTTTTTAAATTTCTCCTCGATGGTGTAATATTTAGATTCATTCTTCAGATGGTTCCTTTGTAAGATGTAAAACACGGTGTACTCTTAGTCATAGATCACTATAAATTTGGAGTGTCATTGTGCAAAGAGGAGATTATTCAATGGCTGCCACTACCTCCGGTCATTGGTTCAAACTAGAACTATTAATATCATGTTCAAATCCAGTTTTACGACATTTATTTAAAAATCTTTATCATTAATCTTTCCGACAAACGTGGAATGATTCATCTTCAACAAACTTTTTTATCAATGTTATTAGTAAAAATAAAAGTAAAGTCAATTCATCGTCAGTTCAACGTACATCTGTACAAAATGCTAATGCATATGATTGAGATTTAACAACATGAACTGCACTTCTGTTGAATACTGATCTATCAAAAACATTCAATAAAACTGATATAACGAATCGATAACGGAAATAAATTATTAGTACAACTTCGAGATATACGTAATAAATAAACACATCATCCTACGAAAAAGATTTTAGACACTGAATTTAATCAGTTATGGCAGCAATTGAAATCGATTCTTGTGCACTTTGGTGAAAATGATAATGAACTTCATCAGTTGAAACCTGATAACATTGGCTTTAATTCGCAATCAGAAGAAGCAGAAGGGTGAGGGTGAGGGTAATAACTGCTAACTCGACCGCATAGGTTTCGTCAGAGCAATTAAGGTCAGTCCTTTTTACGTGTGATTATTTTCAAAGGAACTGCAATGATGGATTCCTCGATTCCTCGCGGTTATTTGTGGACGTGAAAATTCGGCAAAAATTAAAGTGATCGAATAGGATAGAAATACACATAAGCCGACTGAGCCTGATTCCGAATACGATATTTTTACTGCATAAACGACATTACCGCGAACCGCCATTATGTCGACATAGAGCATAGGAATCGTTTCCCCAGCTATAGTACGGACTGAACATTTTTTGTATGGTCCATGTCCACATCCGCTCATGCACTATGTCGACATAGACCATAAGTGGCGAATTTTTATAGTACCCAATAGGTATTGATAACTAAACTACTTTTCGAACTCACTCTCACACTACCCTCACCTCCCACCGCCCACTGGCAGACATACCCAACGTGCACTATGAAAACTTTGCTATCTATGGTGTATGCCGACATAGTCCATGAGCGCATGTTTACATAGACCATAGGAAAAATTTTCAGTCCCTAATATAGCTGGGGCAAAAATTTCTATGGTCGATGTGGACAGAACGGCGGTTCACGGTAATGTCGTGCCACGGAACTCCGAATTTTTCGCCTCAGATTTCGAAAAATGAATTTTTTCAGCATGAAATTCAGACAGAGAAGAAAAACGCTGCTCAGCGTTTTCCCTGATGATGTAACAATTCTAACGACGTATGAAATGTGGCTTCGTTGGTTAACCAGAAAAGCTAGATAGGTTTACAATCGGACCAGTGCCCACTTTCTCGACCGTCACTGAATCCGGAAATATTCGGTCCACGTTATATGCGAACGATATCGCATTCACGTTTTCTCATTCATCTTTTGGAGTTAAATAAGAAGAGAAAAGCGCAAAGCTGTAAAACACAAAGGGAGTTCGAGAAATCAATTTTCTATAATATTGTCGGCTGCTGAGCTAAGGTAAAATTTTCAGTTTTTCAAACTTTTCTCCCCCAAGAGCTAGTTTCAAAGGTCAAAACATATGTATTTCGACTCAGCTCGACGAACTCTATTCAACCATGTATGAGTCGTTGAGAGAAGAAGTAGTGAGTGCTCCTTCTTTGAATTACGTGCACTTTAGAATGGATACAGACAACAGACTGTTCATGCGTATATGGGTGAATTGCAATGGCATTGTACCGTTGCGAAAATAAAACGGAAAAGAACAATTTGAGAATAAACTCCATATATTTTAAACAGCAAGCTCAATAGTTATAAAATTTTAATGAAATTATAAAAGGAAAAAAATTGTAAAAGTAAATATGAAAAAAAAAAGTATTAACATATTTCATTATAAAAACGCATTAGCAGATAAACCTGTAAAAGCCATTAAAACAAATCTCAGATACAAATGTTAACCGGTAGACTTAAATACGAATCAGAAAAATATCGAATAAGTTAGATGATTGTTTCTTTCTCGCTCTCTCAAATATCTTATCTCACCACGACAAGTGTTTATTAACTTTAGATACTTTTTTATGCATCTCGTTATAAACACTTTCCGATATTTCATTATCACTAATCGAAAATATTACCAATGTTTTATTTTCACATAAAACGTTTTCTATGTGTTTTGCACTAGCATCCGTTATTTTATTTCTCTCAAGATACAAAACTTGTACTGTCGTACTTTGAGAAAGCATATCGAACAAAGCTTTTGCACCGCTATCGCCTATTTGATTACCTCTCACATCAAGACTTGTTAATTTTTTATTTATTTTTAATGCTTCCGCAATGGCTATGGCTCCGGCATCCGATATTTTATTGTCAGACAGACTAAGGAAAAGTAAATGTTGATTCAAACTTAATGCCTGTGCAATATATTTTGTTCCGTCAGATGATATTTCATTCAATGCAAGACTGAATGTGTCGAGTTTTTCATTTCCCTGAAGAAAACCTGCAAGAGCTTTTGCACCTCTATCGGATATTTTGTTCTGAATTAAACTGAGCTTATTTTTTGTCGTAGCTTTATCATCCATAAACGATACTTGTCCTGCATCCAAGATGAGTTTCACAGTTTTTTTATTTATTAATGCATTAGCCATAAGTTCCGCTGTCTCATCTGAAATACCCCCGTACATAATCACACCTTCTAATATCTCATTTTCTTTCAATATTACAACTATAGATTCAATTTCATCGTCTCTCAACTGACTCTTAAATGTTAAAGTGAATATTCCCGCGCTCGCTTTTAAAGTTTCTGAAAATATTTTTATTGTTTCCCTATTTTCCCCCATAGAATTTTGAAACGTTATCGCTCTAACATCTTCATATCCTTTCTCAACAACATTACAAAATAATTTCATTTCTGGTGCGCTCAATGCTCTTTCAACGTCTAAGCATTTTTCTCTCTCACGATATTCTACATTCACCTTTTTCAATTCATTAATATCATCAAGCAGACCCGGCTCCTTCGTTATTGGAACCACTAGTGTTGATGGAAAAAATGTACTTCTCAACGCGTATATAACCATTGCAATAGCCATTACAAAATATTTCAATAAACCTTTCAAAGTGTCCATCGGTCTTGCTATCATTCCCCCTAATACCGTTGTAACTATTCTTTGGTCATTAGCTTTCGTATCACTGTCATCTGGCGAATCTCCAGTGAGTATATCGTTTGAAGAAGCTTTTATTCTTAATGGTAATATTTGATTACCTTTTTCGTCCATTTCATACTTAATTGGATTATTATCATTCAATAACAGTGAATTATTAGCTTATGGCACGATAGTATCTGATAGAGTCCTGTCATTATAGTGTATCGCTACTATACCATTCTTCGCAGAAATTTTATTCGACACTAGTTTCTCCTAGAATCACAGAATATATGGATAACTTGTACAGTTATTTTCGGAAATACATCTTGTACATCTTTTAAAAGAACAAATTCTTGATTATCAATCACAGTAATTGGAACATTTTTTATTCGATCTTTATATTGAACTTGTTGATAGGTCATAATCTAACAACGAAAGAGAGATCATGTGAACCCATTCACTTATTTTCAATAGTTTATTTGTTTTACACACAATGATCTTCAAAAAATCTCAAAGAAAACACTACATGTTATTCAAGTAGAACTCATTTCGCCTGTAAATGATGAAAACTTATATTTCTATAGACCTTATATTAATGAGTATATACGGACTTTACTAGAACATTAGCCATAGTACAGACCTTCTATTATAACTAGTTTATATGCCAGCTGACATAGAAAATGTTCAGAAATTTTATTATTCATTTAATTAATAGAAAAAAGGCTGTTGCTCACAAGTCAAAGTAACTATGGCAATGTATCGATGCATACTCTCGATCAGTATAAAGAAAACGAAAATAATTTTTTATAAAGGAATTTGTCTTTCAGACCGTAACAAATGCATAATAAAATCACTAATTTTCTTCTTTTATTTGATTTGACTCATACACACACACATCCGTATAATATTGTTTTAACATGCAATCTCACTTTTTCTCTCCACAAAAGTATAGTATTTTTGAAAGAATATGATGTGAATAGAGAAAGTTTGTTTTCTTTACAATATGCGATTAATTGAATTCAAGGGAGAGAATTAATTCGGTATCTGTTAACTGAAATAGACTATATGTGATTGAAATAATATTTACTTTATATTATTCAACATGAAAAACAGCTAACGGTCAACCAACACGATTAAAATAGAAGTTAAAAATAAGCAAAATTAAAAAGCATCAACTTGTAAAGTACACTTGTCTACATCAGTGCCTTTTGTTCTATTTGTCCATGTTTATTAAACGAGAAAACATGGACGAAACAAATTCATGAATCAGTACTAATATTTGATGACTGATCATACTACAGGCAAAAAATATCTAACGAAGAAGGAAAGTGATCATCATCAAATATCTTATATAATTTTGAAGCCCAGAATATGGACTTTTTTATCATCTATCTAAAAGTTCCGCAGATCGTTTTTGGTATGAGAAAAGTCCCACTAGAAGAAACTGATGTCTGTGCTTTACCAAAAAGGGCTCTTAGTTTATCAAATGACAAAACTAAAAGGACGAGGATTTTTCTGGCCATGGAAATTAGCCGTTTTGGACACGGTTTGCAGATTTCCGTGCCCAAAAGAATCTTTTGACAGTTTTAGACACGGTTATTTATTTGGGGATGGTAATTAGCCGAAATTTGCTTGAATGATATTTCCTCGAAAGCGATATTCTCGAAAATAATTTCCTGAAATAAAGTTTCCTCAAACAGAATTTTCTCCAATAGAAACCTCCTCGAATTTTCTAAACAGAAATTATCTTTATCTCAGGAAAATATTTTCGAGAATATCGCTTTCGAGGAAATATCATTCAAGCAAATTTCCCCCATTCGAAAATGTCTGTGTTGAGCGAAGTTTATATGTATGTATTTATTCATTAAAAATAGTTAATTATAGATAATCACTTACGCTGATCATGAGTCTGTTGTTTATTTTCCTTGAAGGTCATATTTTGGCGTTTCTGGCACCGATAGAGCAAATGCTTGTGGAATGGACACAAGCATCATAGAAACGCAGTATTCTAACCTTTCCCACTGTCAGCACTTACCACGAGAAAGATGCTCATAATGGATCCAAAATTTGGACAAAAATCAATTATTTCACTGGTATGACCATATATATGTGGTTCCCTCCTCATCTCTGGCTACAACAACTGGAAACTTTGCCGTGGCACAGTTTTGATGCTTTTTCCACTTGTATGTACGCTGCCAGGCTTGTCTCAATGCCCATGATATGTTCATGCAAACAAAACTTGAAACAGTACGTCTGCAAACATGCGTTGGGACTCATGATGCATTTTGGCTATTATACAGTGTCATATCCAGCACGATTACAAGATTTATGGAAACGACAAAGAGGAAGCCCAAAAAAAGTGAAAACAGCACGGGTTCACTAAATGTTGTCTTCTTTTTTGAATAAATCCAAAAGAAATTAGTAATACAGTTTCTGGTGTGACGTTGTGGCACACAGCTTACAAGCGAATGGAGTGCAGCATTTCCGAGCTTCAGAAAGGAAAACCATGCCCAGATAAGCCAAACGGTTTTTTGGGTACGGAAATTGATACACTGTGCCCATTTCGGCTAATTACCATTTTCAAATAAATTACCGTGCCCATAACTGTCAAAAGATTCTTTTGGACACGGAAGTTGGCAAACCGTGCCCAGAAAAATCTTGTTGGCTTGTCTCAACACCTATGATATGTTCTTGCAAACAAAACTTGAAAAAGTACGTCTACAAATATGCATTGAGACTCATGATGCACTTTAGCTATTACACAGTACCAGATCCCGCACGATTTCAAGATTTAAGGAAATGACAAAGAGGACGCACAAAGAAAGTGCACATGTTGTGCTTCTCTACATTAAGTATTTTTTTTCATTCTATCAGAAATGATTCATCCTTTTATGCTTAAACTCGTTCGGAAAGGGAGGGTCAGTTGGCGTGGTTCCCGCGTCAGTTTTTAATTCTGATTCCGAATATGATATTTTTATTGCATAAAAGTTGAATTCTTATGGAGAAAGTTGAGAACTACGAGGAGAATTCTAACTTTTCGCCGTTGTATCGAAAGTAGGAGAGAAAAATTTTTTGTTTCTACGTTTAAAAGTAATCCAATTCATGCACAATGTAGAGAAAGACGAGCTCTAGAAACATCACCACCCTAGATGCTTTTTCATTTCAGTGTTGAAACTGACATTTTCTAAGTCAACTGGCATATAAACTAGTTATAATAGAAGGTCTGTACTATGGCTAGTGTCATAGTAAAGTCCGTATATACGCTTTCTTTGAGATTTTTTGAAGATCATTTTGTGTAAAACAAATAAACTATTGAAAATAAGTAAATGGGTTCACATGATCTCTCTTTCGTTGTTAGATTATGACCTATCAACAAGTTCAATATAAAGATCGAATAAAAAATGTTCCAATTACTGTGATTGATAATCA